GCGATTTTTGGCTCTTTTTAAGATTTTTGACTCTCTTTTTTGCCAATTTGTCCTTACTTCTTTTGCGATTTTAGCCTCACTTTTTTGTGATTTCATCCTCACTTTTTTGCGATCTTACCCTCACTTCTCGGCGATTACAAACTTATTTTTCCATACTATTTCATCCTCATTTTTCCGCGATTCTTACCTCATTTTCCTGCGATTGTTTCCCTACTTTCCGCAATTTTATCTTCACTTTTCCGCGAATTTGACCTCACTTTTTTTGTGATTTTTGAATAATTTTTTCTGCAATTTTTGACTCATTTTTTTACGATTTTACCATCACTTACCGCGATTCTAAATCCACTTTTTCGCGATTGTAAACCCACTTTTTTGTAAATATTATCTCATTTTTCCGCGATTCTTGTCTCACTTTTTTTTGCGATGTTATCCTCACTTTTCCACGATTCCTATTTCATTCTCCGCGATTTTATCGTCACTTTTCGTGACTTTATTCTCATTTTTCCGTGAGTCTCATCTTACTTTTCCGCGAGTTTAAACTCACTTTTTTTGAAATTTTTGACTCATACTTTTTTTGCGATTTTTGACTCTTTTTTTTTGCGATTTTAACATCACTTTCCGCGATTTTATCCTCATTTTTCCTCATTTCAAAATTACGAGAATAACGATAATTTTTGAAAAGTTACGAAAAGTTACGGGAATTACATTAAAGTACGTAAAATATGAAAAATTATGAGAATTGCAAACATTTACGAGAATTACGGAACATGACGAGAATCACGGAATAACAAAAAATTGCGGGAATTACAAAAATTATGGGAATTGCCAAATATTACACAAAAGAATTACGAAGTTACTCCAAAATTACGTCAATTATTTAAATATTACTAATTTATGAAAAGTTACGAAAACCAACAAGAAATTACAAGAAAAAATTTACGGAACCCAGTAAAATGACGGAAATGACGAAAATTTACGGGAATTATGAGAGCATTTATACCAAAAAATATTTAATCATTTATTACATTTAGATTAACAAGATGAGAGAATATATACAATATACATAATATGTACCTATATTGTAGGAAAAATCATAAGAAGATCATATAGTCAGCTTAAAAAAAGAGCTTGTAAGTTGTAGTATAGTGTGGAAATACGCTCTATAGAGAATACCTGATAGCAATGTTCATTTTATTTTACTCTCCTTCGTAAGTTTATTGCAGTTTTCACAAAAGTTTATTGAAATTGGCTTTTTTCGACTGACAATGCCGAACTTATAAATTTACCAGTAAGAAGATTAGGGAGGTTATTCGACGCAGAATTTTATGCTTTTCAACTTTGAATACTGTGACATTTTTCGTACGATGCGTCGTTTGCAAGATATTACCTGGTACTGCTACGAGGCAGCAAACTTCAGATCCGTATTCAGCACCCTAAAAAAACATATAATTCATGTTACGAAACAGGCACTTTTGAACCCGGAATCCTTAGAACAGGTTCACTTTCCAGCTTAAAGAATCTCTTGTAGTTAAGATTGCAAAAGTTTACAAAATCAATTTCCAACAAATTTTAAGGTTTATTCCTCACCTCCAATTTCCCAAATAATCCGGGACAAAATTTGTGGGACGTGTGTACATCTAAGCCGAGGCCGTCTAAAATATTTTCTAGGCTAGTCAGCCTCAATATCCAAACACCGTAGGCAGAATGTAACGTAAACAACTTAAAAAAAAAAAAAATAGCAATTGTCCAATAACGCTTATAAACTTTAAATTTCAATTTGCAGCGCCTTTGAAATCCAATACTACATTCATATTTGCGAGCTTTCTTTTTTTGTTTCTTCATTAAGAAATTTGCTATATACCTACTCGAAGAAAAATGTGGCGACCCAAATACGACGTTGCGTCATGTGTGTTGTGTGTGTGTGTGTGGCTGGGCGAAAACAACGACGAAGTAAAAGTAATTTAGTTTACTAATTCGTTTTCCATTGAAATCTTTTTGGTTGTATTGCACTTCATCTTGTTTACATCCTGTGCCACCCACATGCAAGGCCGTTTACTATTACACTTTCAATTGACTAACAATCCCATATTATATTGTTAGTCATTTTTCCTGTTTTAGTTTTTCGGTATGTATTACACACTACAATGATCTTGATTTGGCATCATCGTAATACTTATTGTGTTGTTCTTTTCGTTTTCTATAAGCACAAACAAAATGCTAATAATTTAAAAATAAAAAAAAAAACAAGTTTAAAAATACATTAACGGTGGTCCCAATTAGCATGTAAATCATTTTCGAATTCCACATAATTTTTGAATAGAGGTATACCTACCTATACGCCGAAAAAATAATAATAATAGTCGTATCCTGTAATTTAGACTTTGCACTCTATCGAAAACATTCAGTGATAATGTATGTTTGTTTGTTATGATTACTCTATAGTTGTTATCACAGGATCTATTACGTATTTTTCCTTCTTAAAATGTAAACGCACTCACAGGAAATGGAATAAATAAAAAGACATTGTTTCCTGTTCAAAGTGGAAGCAACCAAAAAAAAAAAATTAAAAAACTTGTACTTATATCCTGTTGTGTTTATTTATGGTCAGGCACATTGATAATTGGTCATTGTGTGTGTATGAATTTTACTTGAAAGTGGGCGCATTATGCTGTTATGTGGGCAGATTCATTCACAATATTTTAGTTGTTCAATTTCCGGACGATGATATTTTCTTTGGGAGATTCATTGTCAAATTTTCAAACACCCTGTAATGTGGGTCCTTGATTTCTATGAGAGAGTTTGTGATGATTTTATCAACATAATTATCAACTGAGTTAACTGAGTAGGTAGGTACATAAGCGCAACTAGGCTCCAAATTTGAGGGGTGCTGCAGCACCATTTTATGTAATTTTTTTTTTTCAGTTTTTTATTTTTTTTTTTATTTTATTTTAAGTAACAGGTACCAATCAATTTTTGCTTTAGGGGTGCTTAGCACCCCCAAGCACCCCCCTAGTTGCGCCTATGAACCACTCTAGATATTTCATTGAAATTTTGTACACTGCTTTCAAGTAGCAAAAGACATTTTTTGCTATGAAATTATTTTTAAAAAAAATTACCAGTGACGTCCGTACCAAATTTCTATGGAATATTTTTCAAGAAAAAAATGGTGCGCCACTGCTTTTTTCTAAAATAAAAATCATTTTTGAAATCTCCATTCAATTTGGAACAAATTTGATCTCTACACGTTTTTCTGAAAGATGCACCATTTTCAAATAAAAAATAAAGAACCATTTTGGGGCATGGCGAACTCGTGAAAATTATGAATAAAATGCTAAACATTAAACACCTAAAGTTTCAAATTATTTCTGTGACGTAACTGATTTTTTTTTTCAAAATTTCAATGAAATATCTAGAGTGGTTTAAAAATTATGATAGAAAAATAGTTTTTTTCTTAGAATTTCAACACCCTGTATATCGGAAAGGAAGAGTTTCCAGACATGTTTATATAGAAAACTAGGGCTTATTTTCGACGTAGAATATGCCATAAAAATTTGGTGCATTAATTTCGGAACACCCTTGATCCAAATTACAAATTTTGGTGCTTAATGAACTCAATATTTGGTTAAGTACATTTTCAAAGATTTTTTGACCTTAGAGTGGTTGTTTTGTAATCAATATCGTCTACAAGTAAGTTTATTGGAGTTTTCACACAACTTCATTAAAATTGGCTTTTCCCGACTGACGATGACGGGTTTATAAGTTTGACAATAACAAAGTTAAGCAGGTCATTTGACGCAAAATTTTATGCTCTTCAACTTTGAATACTATGACATTTTCTGGACGATGCATGGTTTGCAAGTTATGACCAGAAAATCGGAAAAAGCCCAAAAATTTCGAGGTTTTTATGCCCGAGCCGGACAGCAAACTTCAGATTCGTATTCAGCATCCCAAAAAACAATTAATTCCGCTGAAAAACCTTCTACCGCATTCATGTTACCAAAAAATATTACCATTTGATTGGACTACTAAGTTGAAACTTATTTGTGTCAAATTTCAATTATTATTACCGTCTTTTGATTGGCTCTATAATTTCACTATAGGCAATCAATAGTTTAGATTTTTGATGAAGATCCAGTGATAATTAAAATTTGGACCACTGTGAGCTTCCTATACGAATCATGAATCCAAATGTTGATCATCATTGGCTCTTGATTCACAATAAATCTCGTATTTGCAACTGATTTCTCAAAAATTCAAGCGAACTATTTATAAAGTCCAGATTTATCTAGAAATCTTGCTTTCTCGAATATACTAAAAAGTACCAAAATAGATGCGCTTTAGACGTGAACAACTGGGTTCCTAGAATTCTGGCTGAGTTGTCGATGCAATTTCGTAACAGAAGAAAAACGAGAGTCTAGAATCCAGGAATAGTAAAACCCAGATTTCTCTGGATTTTCTTGAAAATTCTCCATACTTTCTTTCCAATAATTTGCTCAAATTCCCCTATACTTCCTATCACCGACTCTTCCAAGTTGTTTCTCCTTTGATTGATTGAAAAACGGATTTTTTCATAAACAGTTTTTGGACAAATTTTCTTATCCTTCTTTTATTTTTGGAATCTAGAATTTCTTATTTTCTTGATCATGACTGAAAATTATCTGATTTGCCTGATATTACATCACTTAAATGCTTAACATCCAAACGTTCCTATTAAGATTCATCCATTCACAAAAAAACAAAAAAGTTCATTATTGGATTTTCTAATTCAACTTATCAATTACATCATTATTATTATGGCACGTGTCGTGGGCTTAAACCACAATACCTACTAATTGCGTGTTCGTAATATATTTACCATTTTCGACGACGTAGTTTTTCGTACGTCGGAAATAGATAATAATAATAATTGGCCCTGAGCGAATATGTGTCTACTCTATGATTAGTTGTTTGTGTCTCAAAAAATTGTTTGTTTAATTATTGTGTTTTTTTGTTTGTTTCAGAATATGTATGGCAAGTGACGCTGTGCGAAAGAGGACTGGGTGCAGGTCGTACCGGTGTCTATCGGCTTTGTCTGACAGACAAAACTGTTACTCTGGTGAAAATAGACGAACCAATTCCTACAGTTATTGAACTATCATTGGCCAGCGTCAGGAGTTGTGGAAACTTGAAGAACTTTTTCTTCCTAGAGGTAATAGGATTTTTAATGCACGCAATAAGTAATCTTGGTGGTAAACAAACCAATTATTATATTGGCTGAGGTTAAGAAATAATTACAGATTAAAGAACTATAAGGAAAAAATAAGCAAATTGAAAAGTTGTTGTTTATCCGTTTTTTCTAATAATATTCATAAATATTTTTCTGTTTTGCTTGGCTTTATTGAAAAAATAAGGCAATTTAAATATGACCTACCTTAATTCGCAATTGATAATTAATTATTGTCTCTGCTGCTGCCGGGGTGGGAAATTACCAACTTACAAAACAAAATAATTATATATGGGATAGAAATAATAAGGCTTTGAAAATACCTATGTTCTTGAATGAGATTGAAATAGTAGAGGTTGTATAATGATAATTTTGTATTCATATAATGCAATTTTTGAGACTAATGAAAAATTATAATAATTTGATATAACATGGTTTAAAGTCTCCTTCCACTACTCTTCAAATTGAATTAAATTAAAAAAATCATTTATATAGTGTCCCTTCCGGCTTACCAAAAGCACTATCATATTTCGATGACATAATAATCTATGGATTCACGGGAGAAGAATGTCAGCGCAATCTTTTATTATGTTTACAATGGTTCAAAAATTTCGACTTACATTTGAATAAAAAGAAATGTGCATTTTTTCGAACCAGCATCGAATATCTTTGGCATATGTGATTCAACATATACAAATAATGTCAAAATCTCCAGCAAAAGTAAAAGTCATAATTGACATTCCTAGACCCAAAGACGTAGATGAAGTTCATCATGTAGGTGCATCTCTGAGTGTTTTGCTCATCGTGATTTTGCATCTATGACCACTAGAAAATTGAAACCTTGAAAAGGACCAGCATAGTCGATATGTAATACGATCCCAGTTTTGTTTAGGTAACTCCCAGTGGTGCAATGGACTTACATGTTATCAGGACGAGAAATCGTAGTATAGGCTTTTTACGTTATATTTAGAATGACGTCAGAGAACAAGGACTGACAATGTTGTCAATGCCTATTTGTTTTCTTATAATTTACCAGAATGTCATAATGAGTTATCAAGACCAATGACAGCTGAAAATAAGGAAATGAATCGACACGAGTTATTTATTTGAAAATGTTCATTTAAATCATGCAAAGGCGCGCGCCGTTGCCAACCAGAAACATCTGAAATTCCCCTACTTTAAATGCGTTAAGAAGTACTTTTAGTTTTGTTAGATTTGCAGCAGAAATTTACTAAATGTGACGTCATCCTGAATATAGCGTGAAAATCCTATAGCTGTTACATTTTCTCGAATATGTGGTTCAAATAGTCAGAAAACTTTATATGATTTACATCAAACTTTGTGTTATCCTGGAATCACTAGAATGGTCCACTGGATTAGATCTCGCAATATTATTCTGTAGAAGATATTCGTATTATATCACCGTCTTGCCCATTCTGTGCAGAACTCAATTTAAAGCGACTTAACTCGAAAACAAAAAGCTTGGGAGAAAAACTTCAAATACAAAACTTATAGACCTCGTCGAGTACTACAAAAAAGCCTATAAGAAGTATCCTGCCAGGGAACACCGTTTTCGAGAAAATCGACCTGGAAAATTTAAACAAAATTACAAAGAATTTCATAATTATACTTGGAGATTTTAACAGCAAAGTGGGAATAAAAGATGGCACGTAATAGGACAACATGGCGAAAAGGTTAGGAATAATAATGAAGAAAGACTGCTTGATTTTTGTGTGTTACATAACTTTATAGTAACTAATACATTTTTCGAACATAAAGAGATACATAAATATACACGAGAGATGAAAAGCAGAAATGAAAAGTCGATAATAGATTATGTATTAGTAGAAAAGAATAATAGAAAGGAAGTATTGGATACCAAGGTTAGAAGAGGGCCGGAAATAGGTAATGATCACTTTTTACTTGTCACAAAAATTCGGGAGCCAGTAGAGGATACAAAACATGATTATCAAAAGATAGAAAAGAAAATAGAATATGAATCAGTGAAATCATACAAACTACAAAATAAAGAAATAGCAGAGAGATACAAGAAAACATTAACAGAAAGATTCTCTAATGATACATGCATAAATGAAAATACTAATGTAGAAGACATGTGGAAGTATTTTAAGAAAATAGTTATGGAGACAACAAAAGAAATATGCGACACTATAAAGAAAACTAATAAGAAAAAACAAACAGCATGGTGGACAGAAGAAATAAAGAGACAAGTAAAATTAAAAAAAAAAAGGCATAGAAGATTTATATAAATAACAGAACAACTCAAAATTATGAAAGGTACAAAGAGAGCAGAAAAACAGTAAAAGATATGGTAGCAGTGGCAAAACGAAACCAATGGGAAGAATTTTGTGAAAAAATAGAAAGAAATAGCAAATCAAAACAAAAAAAAAAAATTTCGAATACCCTCGAAGAGTCACAAAGTGGGTTTAGAAAAGGCCGAAGCATACAGGATCACATATTCACAGTAAAATAAATAAATGAAAAGTTCTCACAGCAAGGAAAAGTGATATATATGGGATTTATGGACCTAGTGATGCCGCGAGACTCGAGACTGGTTTTTGATCTCGTCTCGTGATATTTGGCCCCACGTTGGGCGCCAAATATGTAGCGCATCTAAAACTTCAGTCCATAAGATGTTTGGTTTTTTGGTGCCTTGCCACCATACTGCAGCAGCGCCATCCAGTAGCATGGGTAAACCTTTTACAGCATTATCGTCACTGATGTTCAGACAGTATTTGTAAATAGTGATGGCATCAATAAAAGCTTCAGCATCTTCGTCTGGCTTTCCAGAAAACCTTGAGCCGCATTTAGAAAAATTGGCAACTGTACTTTGGTTCGAAGTAGATTGTGGCGTATTCTGAAACATTTATCTCTCATACCAGCGAGTAATGTTTGTAATTGTTCATTCGTCAGAACAACAGGGTCACCCATTTTGTCTTGATTTTTTTTGGGACGATCGAAGATTATAAGGCATATATAGGAAAATTCAGCTTGGAGTAAGCTAAGTCATGGAAATGTAATGCTGAGAAACAGCAAACTCGGATAAATCCTGATAAACAGGCGACTGTAATATACGAACCCTTTGAACAAACTTGGACGGACACACAGGAAACTGTAATGTGGGTACAAAATGGAGGATAAACTTGGACACACAGAAAATTGTAATGTCAGCACAAAAATGGAGAACAAACTTGGACACACAGGAAACTGTAATGTCAGCATAAAAAAGGAGAACTTACTTGAATACACAGGAAACTGTTATGTCGGTTTGTGTGGAATATTCCAGAAATTGTGGGTACAATATCCGAATGTGGCAAAACTTACACAATTCAGTCAATTAATGCACATTTACATACTGATAATAGAGAGTTGTTGGAACTATTAAATACTGCCCATTTTATTAGTGCATCAGCACTATTTTTTCAAGAAAAAAAACAGTTATTGGAAGACTGTAGAGTACTACCTTATTTTGTATTCATAATTTTGACAGATTAGCTATGTTTATAAATTTCAGCCTCAAAAAGTGTTTATTTTTGTTTGTGATTTTCTGCTGATACTCATTTTTTGATGTTACCCACAGTAAAATGGAAAACTATTGTAAAAAATAAATTTTCTAAGTAAAATTACGTCATCGTCGAAAAACAAAACGTCAAAGTCATCCAAAATGTCAGAAATTTGAAATAAGGGAAGTAGTTTCCTGCCTCGCACTAACCATACACAAATAAAGACAAGCAGTAACCTTATTAAGGGAATCCTTATTTTCGGACCCAAATGCGCATGCGTAGATGTCAAAATAAGGCTAATTTAAATACTGTTTGTCCTTATTGCACGTCCTATAACTCTCTAATGTCTTGCGTTCTATAGTTCATTGATCTACAGTCACAAAATTAGTCCAGAAAGTCATTGGGGTGGTAGTTCACTACAAAACCCCAGGCCCCACGTTGGGCGCCAAATATGTAGCGGGTATTGAAGGGAACTCCAACACTATGCACTACACATGTTTTTTAATGTTTTTATTTAACAATTTAACTGGAAAAAAAATACAGAATCGACAAAATAATAACAATAATTACTGATAAAATGATAATGAACTTGACAACTTGATCAGGAAAACTGACAAATTATCCGCTGACCAATAGAATTATAGACTGGGCCCCGTGATTAAAATAACTCTAGCACTTCGGGCTCGCGTATAACTCCGGCCCTTCGGGCTCGCATTACTCCGGCCCTTTAAGCTCGCGTATAACTTCGGCTCGTATTACTGAGTATCCCAAATTCACAGATTTTTGTGGTGGAAGCGCGGGATTGATTGAAATAATGTTGTCAGATTTTTCTAAATTACATTGAAATTTGGAAAATGTAATTTGTGAATCATTATTTTAATTAGGAATCAGGAATAAAAAACTGAGATTGAATTTTCAAGTTTTTCGGGAAGGCTTAGCCTTCCCTGCGTCCTCAGACGAGCCGCCAGTGGTTTTTCAGCATTGTGAAGCCTAATTTCTAAAGGTAGCTAATTCAGTAAATCATTACAGTCATAAAGGAAGCTACATCATAAATTATGATGTTATGATGATTATGATTCATAATCAATACCTGTGAAAATGTAGCTACTTTTGAAGGACCGATCTAAGAATAAGGATTTCAGAAAACCTATGCTTCAGAAAAAACGCTATTGAAACCCAAGTAACTCATCTTAGCTTCTTCTGAGAAAATGAAGAGATTGAAAAATCAAAACTAGAATCTGATGAGAAAACAATAATTGACTCAATAGCTTCTTCTCATGGAGAATTTGGAGAGAGCCTATACCATAAGCTGAGAAATTATTCGTAGAAGAGAATAATTAAAATAAGAACCTTCAAAAGAAGAATTGAGATTGATTATTAAAGAAGAACTTGAAGAAGAGATGATATTGTTCTGAGGTCCGTTTAGATTGACCCAGAATCTACTATTATTGAATTTCCACA